TTTTTTTTTTTGGAGCCTACCAGACCGATGGACTTCAGTACAGAAGATGCAATGAAACCATTCCTGCATCCTCAGTCGGGGCAGTTTATTTTACACTACAACCAAACCAATTTTGTCCAGCAATGCATCGTTTTGCCTTTCTGCATGGGAGTCTGTGGTTCTCTCTGTCTGTCTCTCTCTCTCTCTCACACACACACACACACGCACACACACACACACACACACACACACACACACACACACTGCCATTGTTTTCCCTATAAACCTCCACTCTCCTCTCTATCTCTGTCTTCACCAGCCTGGATTTTTGTTTTCTAGGATTTTTTTTTTCAGTCATACAAAAAAAATGGAATTGTATCGCGTGACTTATAAATGCAGGGAGTTTTAATTGCACAAAAATGCGGAGCCTTGTGCGCCCCCAGTGTTTGTACGGGGTAACTGCAGGAGCCAAGGCTTTGGAATAGTTACTACTACTGAGCAGGACCGTAATACTGTTGGACGATGAAGACTTCAAATAGCAACAACACATGACTATTGCAGGATGTCACAGATTAGAAAAAGGAAAAACAAATAAAATGGTTTCATCAACTTGCCTGCTGCATTTTGAAAGTCATGGCACCCTAACATTTGTATCAATGCTGCTTGTATGTTTTGGTTTTGTTTTTTCTGTTGTTGTTGTTGATGTTATTATTTTTGTTTTTTTAAAGCCTACTGCTCAAATGGCCAACAGTTGTATAGAAGCTTCACAGCAGCACTGGTTCACCACATGAGAAGCTGTTGAAAGAGTGTGTTTTATAAATTGAAGTGTGTTTGTGTGATTCTGAGCTTCTCATGGGGGGGGGGGCTCATCCAGACTGAGAACTTCCCCGGAACAACCACAAGTAATCTGAAGCGATAGATCCGCCACATCAAGGTATAGATTGGTATCAGGCAACAAATTAAATATGCATCAATTGTCTTAAACTTGATGCTTTCCTTTTTTTTCTCTCCTTTGAATATTGCACTGATGACTGTTGTTGAAAAGTTGACTTTTATGTGTCGACATTTTATTTTTTTTCTGAATAGAAAAAAACAAACACAACAAAATACTATTGTATAAATATATGCTCCAGGTGATAAAGTCCTAATGTGTGTGTTACTTTGTGGAAAAAACATGATGTTTTTTTTTAACAAAGATGCGTGTATCTCTGTGATTGGGTGTATGTATATATACATATGGATATATATATATATCGACGATGATGATGATGATGATGATATCTGGGGGCACTTTCTTTTTTGAAGTGCTGTCTTCCTGTTTTTTTGAAAGGGGAATAATACATTTGATGGTAAGATCATTGTAACATGGTTAAAAATTGCACGGTTGTGTGGTTGTTTGGCTTACCAGGGTCATAACATTTATGACGTAAGGAGCCAGCCGCCGAATTGGTGTACATGAGTGAGATGATTATTATTTTTTTTTTTTAAGTGCTGACTTCTTTGGACCAAGTTGTGTTTCTGGTCTTGCTTCATTTCAAGCAAGAGGAAACAGCTGATTTTTCATGAGTGATGCAGATGTTCCATCATGTTTCATTTTGTTTCTATTCTTTTATTTTTGAACGTTTGTAACACTGTGATGATGACGTGATGTCATGTGGAGATGAGTGCTGTATTATTTTTGTACGTTTGTGTACAAGCCAGTAAAGAAATCATTAAACTCAAAAATCTGTGTATGCATACATTTCTTCCTCAGCGCTCGAGCAAAAAAGCAACATTTCCTCTGACTCAGTCCTCCTCCTCATCCTCCCTCCTGCATCTTTCATAGAAAAGGTTGGTTCGGGAAACACACCCCTACCCTCCTCTCTCTCTCTTTTCCCTCCCTGTCTTCCAAGCCGGGCCCAACCCAGATCCCCATTCTCTCCTTTTGTCATTCATCTGGCCTCATCCTTTCACTGCCGGGATAAAAGAGCCCAGTGCATTGTGGGTAGGCTCAGTTTAAAGAAGGGTCCCCTCCCCTGTGTGTGTTGCGCGAGAGCTAGTTTTATGTTACATCCACACACTCAAAAAAAAAATGTCCAACACACACACGCCTCTCTTGTGCTCCTTTCTGACGATTAAGGCCCAAGCTCTGCGCAACAATTCAGCTCTCTGCTAACAAACCTGCTTTTGCACACCCTTGAGGGTGTCTTTCACTCATCATCAATACTCTTCTCCTAAAATGATCTTTGTTCCTTTCACTTCACTAACCCCTTTCCCATAAGCCGTACAACTCATGCTTCTAAGAAAAGACTGATTCATTTGCAATCAGCTGAATTGGTTGGAGGGGAAGGGAACGTACTCGGTTCTTTTTGTGATTTTTCTTTTTGGTGAAATATGTACTTTGTGGCTTTCTGTGATGGTGCATGAAGTGGCCCTGATAATGGTTGGTTAAACTGTTAAACACTCTCGCCTCATATGGGCCGACCTTGAGTCCAAAAACTGGAACACACAGATTAATGTGCAGCTAAAAAAGGTTAAGAAACACTGTTAGTCTGTGCATTTTGAAGTGAACATTTTTAAATGAACATTTTCAATCATTTCCCTGTTCTCCTTACGCGGTACGTGTAGAATTTATAAAAGCATATACTGGCGGTTACATTTTGCTTATGAGGAACCTTTCATTGAGTCACCGTCTGCCCATTTTCATGGAAACACTGCTTTGCAACTGATATTACGCTGCTGTGGGAGGGTCGTGGGAAAAGCAACACTACAATACGTCTTCCTGCATGTCGGACCTGTTTGTGTTGTAACATTTGCTGGGTGGCGACCTGCAGTTATAGCTGCAACTGGTTGAGCAAGGAGGGTTGCATTTAATGTGATTGAAATAACGGTTGTGGTTTGAGAGATTTCCTTTCAGTGTCATCCTGAAGTTATACTCAACGTGGAAAAAAAACAACGTTTTATTGTTAGAGCAGCTGTTAAACTTGCATTCTGAGCTGCAGCGGAGCCCTCTTTGACCTCAAATGTACTGCACTGACCACACCAAGCGCCAACCTGATGCATTTAGCTCCTCCAAACACCAGCCCCCTCTGTGTTTTGATGCCGAATGGGCTATCTGGGTTGCTGCTCGCCTGTCTTTTCCTCTCTCCCCCCTGAGTCTCTCACTTCTGCAGGATGTTTTTGTTGAGCTGGGTTCCCTATTGTTCACACACGGAGCTGGCTGGCCTCCCAGGGTTGCTGCTGGCTGCTAGGCCCCCTAATAGGTTCTTCATGTGCCTTGGCTTTCCTCGCTTGTCTTGGTCTGGCCTGTGCATGGAGCAGCCCGCTTTAGTGAGCCAGACAACACAAGGCATTTTTGGGAGGCTTTTTGCAGAGAAGACTCAGAGGAAACTCTGTCAGGGAAAAAGACAGAGTCCAGAAAACTCAGGAAAGCAGCGTGAAAATGACTTTATTAAAAAAGCGAATGGGCCACATTGGCATATTTAACCGGTTACAGTCCTGTGTGCGCATGTGTATGTATTGTATCTTCTTCTTCACACATAAATCAAGTTAAATATGGTTGGTGCGTCGATGGTACAGCAGCTGCAATCAAGTGCGTCTGTGTGATAATCTTCCATCTCCATTCAAAAGGCCATTGTTCTGCATCTCATCAAATATTCATGTCCATGCTTACACCCCTCATTTGATTGTTACACTTGATCTGTAAGACACAAGATTAACTGAACATCTTGTGATATGGGTAAAACGCAATTGAATTGGTTTTGCAACACTGAATTCCTCATTTTAAAACGGCTCTGTTCAACGTGCGTACAATGACAGGAGCTCCTGTGTATGACTTCCTCAAAGTGCCTCGGGATTGACAGGATTGCAGTCTGATTGGGTAATAATGTAATACAAACGGCTTGTTTGAACGGTTTGAATAAGTTTTACATTTACGATGACAACACATATGAGGAACTTTTTCAGACTTGCTGCAGGAACCTGCGGCCACGTAAAGAGGAACGTAAAGAAACGGTTAACAGTCTTTCCAGTTTGTTCGTTTTGTTGCACCTGTTAAGGTCCAAATTTAGCTCTTATCATCCTTATTGGTGCATAGAGTTTGATGTGTGGTGGGTCATTTCCCATCATGGCTCCACCCAGCTTCTGCCTGACTAGAGATCTAATCAACCAGAGTAACTGAAAATACCCGTGTGGGTGTGCAGGCCCTTTAAATGTGTTTATGATAGTTAATTAACACAGAGGTAAAGCAGGCCTGGCATGTTCTTAGTGATCACAGCTGTTCGGGGAGGTGCACATCTGTCCGCCCGAGGCCTTTCTCAGATCCTGCATGTGGTCGACTCCTTTACGTGATGATATTAAACTACAAGATATTCATCTTTTGACTTTTACCTATTCTTTTGTCATTTTACCTGGCATTCAGTCAGGGGCGCAATTTTGCGTCTAAAGCCGTCATTAAAGCTCTTTGACTGCAACTTTGACAACAGTGAAGGTATTTTACACACCTGTAATGTGTTTATTTTTAACAACAGAATTCTGTTATTTGCCGAATCAATGCTGGTTCTTAAGTGGCCAAATGCTCCACTGTGTTCACCAGCTCGGTTGCTAACTGTATCTATATACCGTTTGGTGCTAGAGACAAGTAGCGTATGTTGTTTGAAGCAGCCAAGTTGGATGACAAGCGCAGAAAACCAAAACAATTGGAGTTAAAACGTGGTAAACCGCTCCGTAGAGCTGAGAGTAACGGCAGAGTCGGGTGGCCTGTGGGAGCGAACCTATCACATTCCAGAGTCATTTGATCGATTATTATTGTAGAAATATTGACATTAGCTGCTTAAAAGATGATACCAATCCACAAACTTTAAAAAAAAACTGGCGGGGATTTGTATTCTGCGGATATGTGTAACAAATTATCATTCTTGGTT